AAATATCAACAGTAGTTCTTTCTTAGTACTATTATGGATGATCTTTATTATTTTCTTCCTGATGCTTTTCTAAATCTCCTTAATTGCACTGGTATTGCTTTTGGAGTCAGAAACTTTTAAGAAACGACGCTATAAATGAAAGGTAGCAAGGGTGTGAATAGTTCAAACGTGACTAATTTGATAGCTAGACTTGTTTTTACATCTTTTGTCAATTCCCTCAAAGCACTTCCATACCACACTGAAACTCTCCTTGGTGCCTGCCTGCTCTTCTGTTCTTACAGTCACCAGTTACTGAGCCTCCACTGTGTGCCAGGCACTGCTCTAGCACCAATGATTCAGCAGTGAACAAAACAGATGAAATCTCTATCCTTCTTTGACAGGGAAGACAAATACTAAGACACTTGGAACCAAAATATACTTTTAGTGGCCATACAAACATGAAGACACAACACACACACGCATGCTCCTACTTTCAAGTGTGAGGAAGAAAAAGTAAAGGACAGATGGGACGAGATCACTGTTTGAGTCAGGGCAGGCCCCCGAGGAGGGAGCCCAGAACTGAACGAAGAGAGCTGGCCATGCAAAGATACGGGAGAACAGCTCGGTAGAGGGAGCAAGTGAAAAGGCCTTGAGATGGCATCGAGCTTGCACAGAACAGCAGGGAAAAGACCAGTGTGGTCAAAGTGGGATGAGCAAGGGCGAGGGCAGTGGATGATGTAGAAGTAGGTAGGGGTCAAATCACGTAGGGCCTTACAGGTCCAAAGGGGTCCTGAAATTTTATTCTAAAGGTGATGCAAAGGCACTGAGTTTTAGAAGACCACTCTGCCTGCTACATGGACAACAGATTGTGTGAGGGAATGCAAGGAAGCAGGAAAACCTTTGAGGAGACTTTACAGGTGTTCAGGCAAGAAATAACGGCCTGGACCAAAGTAGTAGGGTGAGAGGATGAGACGGGGTCTGACATGGATGTACCCTGATGGGCGATCCAATATAACTTGGTGACTTACCATCAGGAAAGAGGAAGGAATCACAGGTGATTCGTAAGTTCTTGGCTAAAGCAACCGAGTGAATGGTGGTGCCATTTACTGAGTGGGCCGACTGGTGGAGAAGCAAGTATGTAAGTGGGAGAAATCAAGAGACCCGGGGCACCTTGGGTGGCTCAGTCAGTTAAGTGTCTGACTCTTGGTTTCGGCTCAGGTCATGATCTCAGTCAGGGTCGTGAGATCGAGCCCCGTGTTGGGCTCTGTGCCCAGCTTGGAGTCTGCTTGGGATTCTCCTTCTCCCTCTGCCCCTCCCCCCACACTCTCGCTCGCTCTCTCGCCAAAATAAATAAATAAAATATTAAAAAAAAAATCAAGAGACCCATTTCAGACATGTCAAGTGTGAAATGACCACTAGACATTCAGGTCAAGATGCTGAGGAGACAATTTTACCCAGTTCATGTCTGTAATCCATGTGTCAGTTGGGGATGAAGAGGTGTAACTGATATTTAAAGGTATGGGGGGACTAAATGCTATCTCCTAGGGTGTGAGCCCCAAAGTCTGCTAACTTTAGAGGTGGCAAAGGGGAAGGTGAGTGACCAGTGAGGTGTCCCAGAAGCCAAGTGAATAAAGTGTTTCCAGTACCAGGGTCAGAGCCGCTAATAAGTAGAGCAGGTAAGATAAGGATTGAGAACTTGTGACCTTGATAAAGGGGGCTTCAGCAGAGTGCTGGAAGAGAAAAACTGGTTTAGGTTCAAGAGAGAACTGGAAGAGGGGCGCCTGGGTGGCACATTTGGTTAAGCGTCTGACTCTTGGTTTCAGCTCAGGGCATGATGTCAGGGTCGTGAGATCAAGCCCCGTGGCAGGCTCTGCACTCAGCATGGAGTCTACTTGAGACTCTCTCTCCCTCTCCCTCTGCCCCGCGTCCTGGCTCTCTCTCTCTAAAATAAATAAAGATAAGTCCTAAACAAAAAGAGAGAGAGAGAACTGGAAGACAACAGAGTACAGATAACTCAAGTCATATGTATTGCTTTAGGGACAAGAGGTGACCACTGTTTCTCTAGCATCTTGCTAGCTCTTGGCACAGAGTACATGTGAAGCAAGCATTACCAGATGAATGTGGAATCTAAAAATTCCCAATATTTCAAACCATATTAAGAAACCTGAATGGCTGAGAGCTAGAGAGCATCCTGACCATCCCATTCTGTTCCTAACATCATTGTTTATGTTCTTCCCTCCATAATGAGGATGAACTACAAAAACCCGAGTTTCCCTGGGGCACCTGAGTGGCTCAGTCGGTTAGGCATCTGCCTTCGGTCATGATCCCAGGGTCCTGGGATCGAGCCCCACATCGAGCTCCCTGCTCAGCAGGGACTCTGCTTCTCCCTCTTCCTCTGCCCTTCCTTCCCGCTTGTGCTCTCTCTCTCTCTCTCTCTCAAATGAATAAATAAAAAAAATTTTAAAACAACCCTGAGGTTCTCTTCACCTTTTGTAACTTGGTACATATCCAGGACCAAAAGGTAATTAAGTAGCATTGTGACTGGTAGCTGAACCAAGAGAAAAGAAAAAGACCTTCCCTTTCTGCTCCCCAATTTTCCAGAGATTATATACAATAAAGTCAACAAATTACGAACATGTCAGCAAAGGGTTAAAAAAGCAAACAGTGGTCAAGTTATTTAAACAAAACATCTTATTCCAAACCTTCTGCTGAGATCTTAACAGCCACTTAATTCCCCAAATGGGTAACTGGCCCTCCCCCAATTCAGGTACCTCGCCCTCTACTGCAGTGTTAAGAGTAAAGCTCTGAGGCAAAAAGGCAATGTCCAGAAAACAGTCAGGTTTCCCTACCTGACAAAATGTCTTCTGCTAATTCCTTTTCTCTTTCAATTTTTTCCTCTAGAGTTGAAATGCAGAATTCATAGCCAGCAAGAGCAAATTCCTGTCTGTAAAGCAAAGATCAGCAATCGGCTGTTCACCTTTTTACAAACTCCTTGTTTATTTGCATTTTCCGGGCTTGGGTGTGAGCATTAGCAATACGGGGAGTGTAAGACGGGAAGAGGGACTGCTGCCTAAAGTTTCTAAGGGGTCTCAATCTGCCATTTCGCAGAAGTTCTTAGTCACCCATGTAACCTAGCTTAAGACATAAAAAGCTAAGAATGCTGCTATAATCTTAGTAAAGGACAGAACCAGTGCCTTCCACCATCTCCCAGTAACGGTTTCCAGTGAGTCAGTTTCTCCATTTGGGAAAGCCTTACACCCACTCAAAGCAATACTGATATGAACGGAGGCTCAGGCCACCTGCACTAAGGATGCTGACTACGGATCTCATGCAATTTCTGGAGACGTTTACTAGCTTTGTTTATTAGCTTTCCGACCTGTTAGGTCTTTAGTGGAAGCTTCTTTTACATACATGGAATTCCTGGCTATGGCACTAGAAGGCATTGAGCCTGAATCTAGCCCGGGACCCTCGACCCACTGGAGAGGACACGCAAACATCAGGCAGACGGACTCTGGACAGAACAAGTGTCAACCGCTGGTTTCTAGAAAGACATGCACAGACACAGCAGAAATTCTTTCTCCATCCAGAAGCTCAGCCCTGGTTCTTGTCTTCCGTGGTGGCTCTGGTTTCTTAGCAGAAGTGGCACTACCAAGCTCGCCCCTTCTCCTCTAGCGCTTTGCCGGGGAGAAGAGATAACCCCACTGCCGTACTCTGTTCCCAGAATAGAAGCCTCTCCAGACCAAACTTTGGCAGGAGGGACTCTATCCAGCTGGGACTTGGGAGCAGGGGGAGGCTGCCCACTCGATGTTTCTAGTCAGAGCAAAATGTCTAGAAACAATTCCCTTACTAATATCAGCCTTCCTAAGCCCCAAGTCTGGTTATATATCTTCTGGTCTCATGTTTCTCTTAATAAAACTACATGAAAAAACTACTTTTGACCAGCGTACAGAGTAACTAACAGGCTAATTATCAGGGTCTACTACTTTCATTTGTATGAGATCATGAACTCATCTTACTCTCCACTGTGATTAGCTTCGGGCTTCTTTTTATCCCACTTCATAGCCCATCGGCCTCCAGTTCTGTTTGTGACTCCTCCAAGAGAGACTGATCCCAGCTGCGATGCTCCCCAGCACAGGCCAACCTCAAAGTGCCTCAAAAGACTTGAAATCAAAGTCCCGTAGAAGTTCTAGCCCATCTAGTGTCCAAGCAAATGCAGGGAGCGAGCAGGTTCTGTTGATAACGAAGGAGCTGGGACCAGTGCCAGGGACCCCGGGCTCAATAAGTACTCGTTATAGCATGAGGTCTGATGTCATTCCAAACCTCTGGTACCCAGCTACTGCAGCAACTAAAAACCTAAGGAGAAGCTAGTCTTAGGTCCTCCCTTAAATGCACTCCAACATATATAACTCTCTAGGAGTTCTTTGCTTACACCCTAGGTGTTCCTTCTTTGAACTCCACCTAGAGAGAATAGAAGGCATGAGGCCTCACTCATCGGTGTTCCTGGGACCATTTGTACATGTCCGAATCATCTCCTAAAGCCTTTCCTGTGTAGCAGGAAGATTCTTCTTTAAAAGATTTCAGACTCATCTAATACTTTTAAATTAACACCAAACCTTCCTGGTTTGTTGACACTTATATCCAAAAATGGTTCCTTTAAAGTATATTACCCCAACAGCTTTTACATTGCTCCCTCCTCTTCTAGGCAGAGCTAAACTAGTTCTAACTATAACTTCCCTTCCCAGTTTAAACAGGAACAGAAAAGCTGATTAGCCTTAGGGCAGCCAGAGGGGTGAGGGCTGTCTGCCCCACTCAGCAGGCTATTGGAAACAGCGGGGCAAAACTAGAAGACTCAAGACTTCAAAGGTGGGGTGCGGGGAACACTCTGAGTGAGACACCCAATTCTTTTGAGACGCAGATGATTGGAAGCCAAATGAAAATTACATAACATCCTACGGTTAAAGTTCTCTGTCCATAGCCCAACTCCCTGGCTGCCGCCACACCTAGATTCTGACTCTACTTACCTATTTTGAGCAGCATAGATACTGGCCAGCTTTAGAGAGATTTCAATTATTGCATTGTCTTCCTGTTGGGAGAAAGGAAATGAAGATAATTCACACACGTTAAATTTCCTCATGGATTATTTCTGATCAACATCTAGAGAGACTTTGGTCTAAAAGCCATAGTCTTTATCCTTCTGGAGAGATTAGGCAATTGGATCCCTCAGCAACCATGTTTTTGCCCCAGTGGAAGACTGGTAGTTGTTATACAGGTCCAAGGGGGAAAAAAAAAATCCACCTTTTTTCGCCAAAGCACATGGTGGGGGCTGAGCGGAGTTTTCAGGAAGCAAAACTATTTTGAAAACTGCTTCAGCTAGGGCCCAATCCCAGGCAATGTCCTTACCTGTTGCATGCCCCCTCCAAGCAGGTAACTCATTGTTGCTTTAAAAAGTTTTTCTGCCTAAAAGCATAAGGAAAAGATTTTTCTTTTACTTGGGACCCTGGATTCTAAGTACTAGACTGATGCATCATCCCCTTGTAAAACACAACACACACACTTATATACACAGAGCAAAACATCCTTGTGATGGGAAAACAGGCAAAAATACCAGGACCCCACCTCTTCTGGGCACCTTAAAAACTACTCTGTAATGAGTAGAAACCAAATTCATCTAAACCTACTGTGGCAGAAACTGCAAACTATTCCCTAATCATTCACTCTCCTATCCTTTCGGTTACAATATCTCCTCAGTTTTTAACATATCAGCCTCCTGTGCACTTAGGTACGGTCATATGATGAGGTTTCGGCCAAGGGATGCAGGTAGAAGGAACGCGAACAATTTTTAAATTCTATTTTATAAGGAAGCTGCCTGCCTGCCCTTTCCCTCCTCTGCATCCTTCCTGGAGGCTGGGGGTGAGCTAACTCACCAATGCAGACGAGAACACTCTTAGAACGAACTCAGGCCTGCGGCCCACTTCATGGAACAGAGGTATCTACCATTCTTCAGTGCACAGCTAACTCTGGAATAATGCATTAAAAGAAATACACCCTCTTGTTTGAGTCACTCTATTTTGGGGTCTCTGTTACAGCAGCCAAGTTTGTACCCTTACTAATAAAAGTTCCCTGGAAGCTAGTCCTTCACAAATTCAAAATACCACAAACTGATTTTACTTACTTACATTTTCAAGTTGACCCCGTATAAATGCTAGGTTGGCCATCTGAAAGCAAATCACAAATTGTTTTTCAGTTTAGAGCACTGCATTCTACTTACTTCAAAACCTTTAAGCTAATGACTTCCTTTTATTTTTACCCTCTAAATAAAAAAAAAATAGTTCAAAGAGAAAGGTATTTGCTAAAATCAAAGCACAGCAATAGAGTGTGTAAATAGTTGCACAATCTTTGCTGATGACAAACCAAATCTAGATCCAATCATCACTGAAAAAACAAATACTAATGACATTTATTTTTGGTGTGAGATTTAGACTTCATATAAGCAAAGAGTGATAAAATGTTAGTACCCAAGGGTAATAAAAATTGGAACCAAAAGAAAACGTTGTAAAAACAAAAATGAAAGAGCTTTACAACACCCTGAAGGTCAGGAGCGTAAATCAGGAGAGCGAACAACCCTTCTGTTGCATCCACCCTTCATCATCAGTGGCTCAGACTGTTAGAAGAGTTACCAAATCATAAGTGTAAGTGATGGCCTTCCTGTTATCACTCTGGTAGGCAAGACGAAGAGCGTCATGTAAAATCAGCTCAGCCTCTTCTGGCTCATCTTTCATGATGCTCAACTGAAAAGAGAAAACAAAGAAAGGAACAGAAAATGAAATGTAAAGAAAGCACGTGTTATGTGCTACCAGACTGAAGGGATACGGCCACACACCCCAATACACAGAAGACAGCTATCCATTCATTCGTCAAATATTTACTGAATTCCAACTATGCACCAGGCTTTACGTTTACAATGGTAACAGGGAGGTAAGCTTCCCTTGCAGCTATGTGCAGCCACACGGCAAAGTTCTGGCCAACAGAGCCAGACACCAGGAATGTGAGCAATTTCTGCATCCTATTTTATAAGGAAGCTGCTTGCCCTACATCCTCTTCTTCCCTTCCTACAGGCTGGAAATAACCCTGTAGAACATAAAAGCTTAACAACAACTGATATAAACTATGAAGAAAAGTAATGGGAAGGAACAATAAGGAGTCCCCTCTAAATGGGAATTCGAGAAGCCTTCCGAGGAAGTGACAGTTAAACTGAGGTAGGATGGATGAGAAAGAGTCAACCAGGAATTATGGGGAATAATGACCCAGAGAGTAGGGGATGAACAGAGGCCCTATATGTCGAAGAGAAGAGTCTTCAAGAATCATTCAAGAAATGAAAGGAAACACATGTGAAAGGGAGACGGTGAGCCAGAGGATTACTGCTAAATGGGTGGGCAAGGCAGGGTGGTGTAGGTTATGTAGGGTCTTGCAGGCCATGGTAAGGAGTTTGGATTTTATAATAAATACAGTGGGAAGTCACTCAAAAATTTTTAGGCAAAGAAAATACGATCTAATTTACATTTTTTAACTTAAATATTCTTTTAAGATTTATTTATTTTTAGAGAGAAAGAGTGTGCGGGGCGGGGGGGTCCTCAAGCAGACTGCCCATCGAGCAGGGAGCCGGCAGTGGGGCTCGAACTCACAATCCTGAGATCATGACCTGAGCTGAAATCAAGTCGGAGGCTTAACCGACTGAGCCACCCAGGCGCCCCCCAATTTACATTAAAAAAAAAAAAAAAAACGAATTCAGGCTACTGCGTGAAGAGTGGGGCAACAGGGCAGGCAAGACTACCAGACAGCAGGCTGTGGCAATGTGGCCAGGAGGACAGCAGAGGGCAAAGAAAACGGCAGACTTCAGAAATACTTCGAATTTGCTGGCAACAGTAACTGTTGCTGGGCTGGAAGTGTACTGAGAGGCAGTGGTAAGGTGCCCTCAGGTTTTAAGAACGACCAGGTTGCCAGGCTGGAAAACTGGGTAGATGGCAGCAAAGAGAAGATGGTGAAGGAACGTGCCGGGGAGGCCTCTGCGATCAACAGTCAGGTCTGAGGGGCAGGTGAGGCCCCAAAGTGGAGAGGGCATGTCAGGAGCACACTGCAGCCCAAGAATATAAATTTGGATGTCGTTAGCACCGAGGCGGTAGCGAGCCCAGGGGCAGAGAATGAGATAACCTGAGGACAAAACAGAAAAGACTGTGGAGAAAAGGAAGACTTCAGAAAGAACAGAACCAACACTCAAGTGCGTTTTCTGGACGCGCCCCGTACGTTCCCAATTCTCGATGCCAGTCTCTTCGGCTTGGCTGGCTCCCTGATAAAAACAACTACATTTCCGCTAATTTTGCTTGGATAAAAGAGCGATGCCCGGGGTGCCACCTCCATCTGCACTGGGGACTGCAGCGGTCTGACTGCAGGCTCTGGAGTCTGACAAGCCTGGATGGATGCCAACACCGCCCCCCCCCCAACCATGACCCATCGAATTCCGGGCAATTCTACCCCCGGAGCCCTCATTCCAGTCTTCGGGAAACTGGAGCGAGCACTGCGCACCCACAGGGCCAACGAAGAGGCCTCGCTCACAAAGGCCGCCTCACCTTGGCTCGCTTCAGCAGCTGGATGATCTCGGCCTCGGCCTCGTCCGCCGCGCCCTCGGCGGCGGCCCCGCCCGCTCCCTGCCGCTCCTCCTCCTGCTCCTCTGCCGCAGCGGGCCTCGAGAACCAGGCGAGCGCTGCGGGAAGGGGCTCTGAGGTCACCGGGCCCGGCCTGCGCCCCGGTCCCCGCCCGGCCGGCCCCGCCCGGCCCGCGCTCCTCACCTGCCAGCAGCGGCAGCAGGCCCGGGCCTCCGCCGCGCGGCGCGACTCGGGATGCCGGCACCCCCACCTCAGGCGCCCGGCCTCCTGCCGGCCCCGGGAGCAGGCGCGCCGAGCAGGCCCGGCACCGCCGCCCCGCGGCCCGCAGAAGGCCTCGGCCCAGGCTCGGGCTCAAGAGCCGGTACATGCTCGCGCGGCGTCCTCGGCGCACTGCAGGCCCGGCCGGATCCCAGGACGTCCCGCCCCCAGCGCCGAGCGCCCACCGGATTGGTCGGGCCGCGAGGTGGGAGGAGGCGTCGTCGTGGCCGCCCGCATGCGCGTGACGCGCGCCGACGCCACTTCGCCTCGCCCCGCCCCCGACCGACGGCGGGAATTCTCGCTAGTCGCCGTCGGAGCGTCGCACCTGCTGGGCTTTTGGGGGAGGCTAAAGGCCTGGGACGCCATGGCCTCCGCCTTGCCGGGCGTCACTTTGCCCGCTGTCGTCGAGGAGCTCCTGAGCGAGATGGCTGCGGCGGTGCAGGAGAACGCGCGAAGTACGGGCCGGAGGGCGTGCGTAGCTGCGCTGTGGGCGGTGGACCTGGCCTGGCCGGGCGGGGAGGCGAGAGGCGGAGTTCCCTGGGCCTGAGGGGCGCGGGGTTGGGGGCGCCGCCCCCGCGCTCTTCGTCCTGGCTTCTGCGAGCTTTTTTCCCCTGCGGTTCTATTCCCAAACCCCAGTTCGTAAAAAAAAAAAAAAAGGAAAGAAAAGAAGGAAAAGGAAAGCCCGATTTGTTTAGGGAGCAGCGCGGTGGTTCCCTGCCATACGGCGGGGCAGCCGGGACAGAAGTGCGGGGCGCTGCCACGAAACCCCTGAGAAGGGACCTGGGGCCAGGAGGGCAGAAGACACGGGAGCTTGCGGGCAGGTACGGGGAGGTGAAGTTCTTAATTGATTATTAAGCTTGCCTGTGGTCTTTTTCTCCCCCTTCAAAATCTTAATTCTAAAATTAATCGTCGCGCACACTGTGTGCACCAGATACATATTTTAGAACCTGAAAACCCAAATGCATAGGCAGTGACTGGAGTAAATAGGGATGTTGTGAAAGTAACTGTTACTTCTCTGACCAGCAGAGGATGCTCTGTGACTGTGCTTACCGAAAATCACCCAGGCGCTCTCAAGATGTGTTCAGGGCATGCTCGTATTAAAGATGATAATTCTAATCAGAATGCACAGACCAATTGGAACTACTCAACCAGTGTAAAAAACGGCCACTTAATAGCAGTGCACACCTCAAAATTGCCGCTGCTTTTTCGCTTGGACGGCTTTTGTTTTAAAAGGAGTGTACTTTGAAAGGGTTTATCTTAACCAGCTGAGCCACCCAGGCGCCCCTGAAAGGGTTTATCTTGCGTTACTGTATTTATCCATACTGACGTAAGCATGGTATGTATGTTTAAAAGATTAGGCCAGGCAGGTATTCTGATATGTCGGGATCCCCAAAAGGATGGGGGAAAAAACAATCTCTTATCTCAAACACTGGTTGCCAAAAGTGGGCTCTGTCTGAATGGGTTAATCCACACACTGTGACTCTCTTGGCTCACGGCTCAGGCAGAGGGACCACTGGCATTGATTCGTGTTTATTTCCAGCAGAACCGTTTCCTGCTATTTTAAAATATTTGTTCTACGTAGTAATGCACTATTACTGTTCTCTATGCTTCAATGATAATATTTTTAGATCAAGATTCTGAGTTTACACTTGTATGATGATGTGATATCTAATCACAGCTGGGCCACGTAGGAAGCTGTGGTTGCTTCTCCTTTCCTGCATAACTTTTTGTTTTGCCTGGAATTACAACTGTTGTAGTTGTGTTTTTTTAGTTTCCTATGTATGTATCCCTAATTCAACCTCAAACTCTTTGCCAGTGTTCTAAATCTCTACTCCATATGTTCAGATGAGTGAGATGTTGTATCCGTTTCATTCTTCTGTGGAAATCTCTCCTAGAGCCTAGACTTGCTCTCCTAGCTGTTGGACTGACTGCCCTCCTAGCTTATTTCCTGAGATCTTCCTTTACCACTATTTTCCTAGGAATTCCCTTTGCCTGTGTTGAGCGGTATGTTTATCGACAATTTTCTTTTTTTTTTTTAATGTTTTATTTATTTATTCATGAGAGTCAGAGAGGCAGAGGCAGAGGGAGAAGCAGCCTCCCTGCCTAGCAGGGAGCCCGATGCGGGGCTCGATCCCAGGACCCCGGGATCATGACCTGAGCTGAAGGCAGACGCTTAACCATCTGAGCCACCCAGGTGCCCCTCTGCAATTTTCTTTTTCTGGGTTTACTATCTTATTTTATAGAGCACATTCTCCAGTAGCTTCCTGAAGAAGCGTATATGAGGTATACTTTTGGAAGCTTTATGTGTCTAAAGAGTTTTTTCTAACCTCACCCTTAAATGATAGCCTGGCTAGGTATTGAATTATATGTTGGAAATAGTATTTCTTCAGACATCTGAAAGCGTTATTCCACTACCATCTGTCTCCTTGAACTTACTTTAAAAGAGTCTATTATTTTAACCCCCCCTGCTTCATCCCCATCTCCAAAGCGATCTGGTGCCACCAGTTTCTGAGGGTTGTAGGGGTAAGAGAATACTGGATTTTGGAGTATAAATGAGGTTATTGCTTGGCTCTCTCCATTGCTAGCTTAGGATTCAGTTTCCTCAGGTCTTGTAAATTATTTTCCAGTGTATCTTAGCTGTTGTTTCTCCCTGTCCTTTCATTCTGGGGAATTTATGCTTTTTAAAATAATCCTTTTATTATTGTTTAGTGGAGTATTTGGAAGGAGTAAAATTAGATGCATAGACTTAATTTACCGTCTTACACAAAAATCTTCTTGGTTATAGTCTTTTAAAGATTTTGTCTATGGCCACCGGTTTAACATGATTAACTTTCTTCCCATTTGTGTTTTACAGTTCCTGATGAGCATCTGTCAGCGTAAGTATATATCCTGTTGTAATTTTTTTAACCATTAATGTGTCTTTTTTAAAGATTTTATTTATTTAGAGAGCTGGGGGAGGGGCAGAGAGAGAGGGAAAGAGAGAATCCCAAGTAGACTCCACACTGGGTGTAGAGCCTGACACAGCACTGGATCCCACCACCCTGAGATC